GAATTTGGACCTGTCCTCCCCAGGAAGAAGGGCTTGGGTCAGGGAGGCAAGCACTGGAGATGGTGAGAGGCGCTCCCCCTTGAGACAGAATTTGAAGGCTAACAGCATTTCCACACAGATTGAATCTGGGTATAAAAAGAGTAGTTTAAGAGGACTCCAAGATCTTTCTTTGGCCTTAGCAACTGGTAGGACAGAGGTGACATCTCCTGGGGTGGGAAAGGCTGTGGGTAGAATGTGTTTGGGCTGATAATCAGAAACAATTAGACATGTGGAGTCTGACACATGTATTTCCATCTAACTGGAAAGGTTCAACAGGCAGATGGATATCCAAGAAAAGTTTGGGGAGAAGTCTGGGTTACAGATGTATCTGTGTTATAATTTTTTCCTTGATTTCCTTTTCCTTGATTTTCTTGATTTCCTAAAATATCTTTAGTCCTTCCTCAGGGGAACAATACATAACTACACACACACTCACACATTATAAAGAAAAGCTCTGTTTCACAACCTCTTCCATTAAACAAATATACATCTTTCAATGTAAAGAAAAATACAACTAGAGTATAGGGCTGTTTGAAGACTGCCCGGCAGTGGCTGTCGTTAACGTCACCTGAACATTTATGAAATGAGGAGAGTTAAATTCTATTCTCAGACCTGTGGAGAGAAAGGATGGCTTAAGAAATTATTTTGCCAGAAGCGAAGAAAATATCAATGAAGAGAGAGTGTTGAACAAAAACATTGCTAAGTTTCCTTTCTGCTTTGACAGTGAATAAATACTGTTTGTCTTGAATTAAAAACTTAGAACTCTTCCCTTACTCAGAAAATAGGCTCTAATCACAAGACAGTAAATTAAGAAGTGTCTAAAATACCCTCATCCATGCTACCGTTAAGCAGTGCGATAGCTGAAGATGAACAAGAATGGAATCGGATTTGGGGCGGGCAGTGTCCAGAGGCAGCAATGCTGTCTGTGGCATGTGGCCACCTGGGCATCCGATCAAGGGAATTCCTTCCAGGGCATGTCTTTAAGATCATACTCTCTCAGAATGAGTGCTCTCAAACATCATTGGAACTCCATGTTTCCCCAATCTTGTCCTGCTAAATTCTGTTGGTGAACTTTAATGTTATACTTTTAATTTATATGTGCATTGATATAGAGAGGAATAATGGAAAGACATATATATATATATATATATATTTTTTTTTTTAAGAGAGAAAGAGAGAACACCAGTGAGTGGGGAGGGGCACAGGGAAAGGGAGAGAGAATCCCAAGCAGACTCCATGCCCAGCATGGAGCCTGACCTGGGGCTCCATCTCACGACCCTCAGATCATGACCTGAGCCAAAATCAGGAGCTGGACGCTTAACCAGGTGCACCACCCAGGCGTCCCAAAAAAGACATACTGTTTAAAACGAGAAAATATTAAAAGACTCAGAAAGATGTTCATATCTATGTTAAAGTGTGTTTTCATATTAAGTTGCCAAGTTTTTATGACCCTACCTTAAGGCAACAGAATAACATATAAGTACTATCTTTACTTAAGCACCCATGAATAAACATCCCACTATATGATCACAAAGAGATGAAAACAAAACAAAGCAGAGGAGTAAGAAAGAGACACTGCTGAGAGAGAACAAAGGAAAGGAAGGGAGGCAAAGAGGAGAAAGATTTTAAAAAAAATCATTTTCGGGGCGCCTGGGTGGCTCAGTCAGTTAAGTGTCTGCCTTGGGCTCAGGTCATGATCCCAGGGTCCTGGGATCCAGCCTCACATGGGGCTTCCTGCTCAGCGGAGAGCCTGCTTCTCCCTCTCCCTCTGCCTGCCGCTCCCCCTGCTTGTGCTCACTCGCTCTGTCAAATAAATAAAATCTTTAAAAAACATTTTCAAATAAAACATATGTGAATGTAAAACATAGTACTGGATCTACTATCAGATTCCTCTAAAAATTACGTTTATTGCCTAAAAATACACAATTACAACTATATCAGAATTAGAGAATTTCAATCTCTCTTTAAATGGACAAGGACCTAAAAGAGAAATTTGAGAGTCACATACAAGCAAAAAGAAACTTCTCTTAAAAATTCACAAATGTCAGTGTTCTTTTCGCCTGCTAAAAAAAAATGTGCACAAGTATTCAATGTAAAGAAGCAAAGTTTGGTTCTGTCAGGGAGCAGGGGGAAGAGGAAAAGAGAAGGTAGGAGGAGTGAACGCAAAGGTGGCTAACAGCACAGTGACACATGACATAAATACAGGGAGCATTTGCGAGTTGTAAAATTACACATTTTGGTCTGCTAACAAGGGAACCACCTCTTCTTCCTTCAAAACTTGCTGCTTTACCTCTAGCCTCTATCTCTATGGGTGATACCATCCTTTACCCACTCACCCACTGAAAATCTGAGGTCTCTGATCTGATCTAGCTCAAGTCTTCTAGATCCAACCACCAGGGCACAGCAAGCACAAGGGACAGGTTTGCCGGAAGGTTACTGCATATGTGAGTCTGCTTCCTACCTCTGTGCCTTTGGTGTGCTGTTCCCATGAACTATATAGTACCTGTCTTTCCTCAAGCTCTCTGCCCCCGCCCACCCCAACACTTCCTGCCCGGAGAACTGATTAGGTGCTCTAATCTCTTTTATTAACCCAGTATCCCAGTTATTTTCTGGGCAACTATCTTCCCCACCAGATCATCCCTTATCTGTTTTATCTTTGTAAATCCAATGCCTAATACAGGGCCTGGAATTCTAAAACACACTCAAAATTGTTTACTGATTAAATTTAGTTAAATCAGATTAAAAGTTAAATGGGATGTGATATAGTTAGGTTTCCCATCTCTGAGAGTTTTTGACTAAATCTAAGTATGTTAGGAGAATTCCCACACTGGATAGGAAATGAGATCTACCATATGACTTTGTGATATTCCTTCCATTTCTACACACATTGTAATTTGCCCAGTTGACTGCCTTTTACACAGTTCTTTATAATATTTAACGATAAAGACATATGACTTATCCTTTGTACAGCTAATTCTTTTTATGTTTCATTCTTATTCAAGGCATGGCCAATGATGGAAATGCCACTGTAAAGAGCTTATTAAAAACGTGCCAACACAAAAGACCCTGAGTAGCCAAAGCAATCCTGAGAAAGAAGAACAAAGCAAGAAGCATCATGCTTCCTGATTTCAAGCTATATTATAAAGCTATAGTCATCAAAACAGTATGGTATTCGCATAAAATGCACAGATGCACAGCCCAATGCAACAAAATCCAAAATCGATAGTGCAGGAGTAAACCCAAGCATATTTGACATGGGAGCCAAGAATACTCAATGGCGAAAAGACAGTCTTTTCAATAAATGGTTCTAGGAAAATTGGATATTCACATGCAAAAGAATGAAAGTAGACCCTTATCTTATATAACATAAACATATTAACTCAAAATTGATTAAAGACTTGACCATAAGACCTGAAACCATGAAACTCCTAGAAGAAAATATAGGAAAAAACTCCTTGACATGGGACTTGGCAATGAATTTTTGGATATGACACCTAAAGCATAAGCAATAAATAAAAAAGAAAAAAAAAAACAAGTGGGACCGCAACAAACAAAAGGCTTCTGCATGGCAAAAGAAACCATCAACAAAATGAAAAGACAGCCTATGGAATGGAGAAAAATATTTGAAAACAATACATCTGATATGGGGCTAATATCTAAAATACACAGGGAACTCATACAACTCAATAGCAAAAACCCCAACCAATCTGATTAAAAATGGGCAGGGGATCTGAATAGATAGCTTTCCAAAGAGGACACACAGAAGGGCAACAGACACATGAAGAGAGGCTCAACATCACTAATTGTGAGGGAAATAAAGCCACAATGAGATACCACTTTGTGCCTGCTAGAATGGCCATCATCAAAAAGACAAGAGATAGGGCACCTGGGTGGCTCAGTTGGTTGGGCGACTGCCTTCGGCTCAGGTCATGATCCTGGAGTCCTGGGATCGAGTCCCGCATCGGGCTCCCTGCTTGGCAGGGAGTCTCCTTCTCTCTCTGACCCTCCCCCCTCTCATGTGCTCTCTCTCACTCTGTCTTTCAAATAAATAAATAAAATCTTTAAAAAAAAAAGACAAGAGATAACAAATGCTGGCAAGGAGGTGGAGAAAAGAGAACCCTTGTTCATGGTCGGTAGGAATGTAAATTAGTGCAGCCACCATGGAAAACAGTATGGAGGTTCCTCAAAAAATTAAAACTAGAACTGCCACGTGATCCAGCAATTCCACTTCTGGATATTTATCCAAAGAAAATGAAAATATTATGTCAAAGAGACATCTCCACTCCCATGGTCACTGCAGCATTATTTACAATAGCCATGACATGGAAACAACCTAAGCGTCCATCAATTGATGAGTAAATAAAGAAGGTGTGGTATGAATACACAATGGGATATATACATAATTCAGCCTTTAAATAAATGAGAAAATACTGCCATCTGAGATAGTCTGGATACACCTGAGGCATTATGCTAAGTGAAATAAGTCAGACAGAGAAAGACAAATACTGTATGATCTCACATATTATATGTAAAATCTTAAAAAAATAAAACCTTACAGAAAATGGTCAGATTTGTGATTACCAAAAGTGGTGGTGGGGGAGTGGAGAACAGGAGGAAAGTAGTCAAAAGGTACAAAACTCCAGTTATAAGATCAATATGTACTAGGGATATAATGTACAATGTTATGACTACAGTTGACACTACTGTAGGACTTATATGAAAGTTGTTATGAGAGTAGATCCAAAGACTTCTCATCACAGAAAAATTTTGTTCCTGTTTCTTTTGTACCTATATGAGATGATGGATGTTAACTAAACTTATTATGGTCAGTACTTCATGATATATGTAAGTCAAATCATTATGCTATAGTCCCTAAACTTATATGGTGCTGTATGTCAATTATATCTCAACACAACTAGAAAAAAAACTCCAAAATACGTGCTAACATTTCTATGACTTACTGAACACGTCTCCTCTGGGTTTCTGAGGATCTGTGTGTATCCTGTTGTCAACTGTAATCCATCTTGGAGAGGTAGTGGCAATGGGTGTTGCAGGGGTCAGTCTGGTGCTTGGGCTATCTGGGCTTGTTGCGGGTGGAGATGTTCCGAGTTCTGTGAATGGGGGTGGGGTCAGCTCTGCTGTTGGCCTTGGTGCAGGTCTTGTTGTTGGCTTAGAAGTGGGCCTGTTCGTAATAACAGGAGGGATATATGGTGTCTTCAGAGGCCACCTAGTACTTCCAACATCAGGAATCCAGTTACTGTGTCCTCCATCACCCTTTGAAATGGTACCATTACCCTTTGGTACATGAATTGGACCTGAAGGTTCAATCATGACTTTTGGAATATCTGAAAGAGTCAAAAGATTTAAATTAGTGTGTCTCTCTAAAAGTTCGGTTGTAGAATCAAATTGTGAAAACACATTAGAATATCGCATGATAACTAGGCTTACTTTTCACATTTAGAATATTCCCCTACTGTAAGTCATGCTGTTTTCCAAATAATAACTATGTGTGGGTATGTATATGATATATAGATATATATTCATACACATATTCATCCTGTAGATATATGCAAAAATTATACTGGTATTTCTGTAAGGGATATGTATTATTTGCAACACAAAGAATTTCAAGTATTTGTAAAATGGAAATAAACAATCCTTGAGATTTTTAAAATGCAGAAACATTCTAAGATTTTTAAAATATGAGAAATATTTGTTCAGAATCTATGTTAAGTGTCCCTAGGGCACACATATACTATAAAATCATGTTTTGAATAATCTAAAGACTAATATTTTTCTCTTCGATACTCTATGTAAATTCAACTCATGCAAAATATGTTCATTAAGTGTTCCGTATATTTTTTTAAGATTTTATTTATTTATTTGAGAGAATAGGAGAGCACGAGCGGAGGGGCAAAGGGAGAGGGAGAGAGAATCCCAAGCAAACTCTGTGCTAAGTGTGGAGCCAGACACTGGGCTCGATCTCACGACCCCAAGATCATGACCTGAATGGAAAACAAGAGTTGGACACTTAGCCGACTGTGCCACCCAGGCGCCCTAAATGTTCTGTATATTTTTGAAGTTTGTTTGCATTCCCCCTTACTAATTTACATGACTGCTTAAAAAAACTTCCAAGGTCACCGTGATTATCTGTGGAATCTTTTTCGGTGATTATCGTCACCAAAAGGAATTAATATTTAATCTTCCTGGAACAGTATACTCTAGGCCTGGAGTATGACTACATGACCCTTCAAAAATCCTTTAACTCCCATGGTTTTAAGGCTCATGATTTTCAGTAAATATTTTACTCCAAAGCTTTAAAAATTATCTACTGTCATATGAAATGTATGCTAAATTATGGCCTTTAATTTGTAAAACTTTCATCTTGGAGGTTATTTTTTTCATGTTTATCTACTAACATAGCCATACTCCAAACAGTTTGTAAGGATTTAAAAAGCAAAACTGTCCTAAATTTAGAGAAAAGAAATATCAGAATGATTTTTTAATAGTAGAATTAGAAGACATAAAACAGAGGAACAAAAAATAAGGTATATATTCAGATTTTCCATCTGTCATAATGTAATGCTAATGACAAACATTTACTTCTGATTTTAACAAAATCAAATTCTCAGGGAGAGCTCCATCATTTCTTGCCAGCCAAAAGTAAGCTATTGAGACATCATAGCAAAGGAATTGAATGCTCTTAAGATTAGAATGCATTACTGAGTCTTTAACTTTTTTAAAATACCTGAACAAGTGATTTGCCTGTTTGCAGAAAATACAGACTAACGTAATTCGCTATAAAAAGTATGCTTTTTGGATAATTAATCCTGTTCATCTTTCCCAGTAATGCCCTTCATGTAAGCCTGTATTTCCTGCTAGAATTCAGAGCCGGGAGATAAGCATTACTCACACACACAATTCAGTCCATCACCCTCGTATCCATCTTTACATTGACACTTGTAGGACCCGTGTACGTTGTAACATCGAGCAAAGCGGCTGCAATGATACTGACCAAGGGAGCATTCATCTATATCTGCATTGTGAAGTAGGAAAAGAAGAAGTTTATTTGGGAGAGAAGTATGAAGACATCAAAAATATACATTTTCAAAACAAACAAAAAAATTTTTTTGGAAGTTCCACGTAAAACCAGCAGATAAACGGAAGAAACAAAGTACACGTGCATCCAGAACCACCAAATGGTTGCACAGGGCTTCTGTTTAATGTGATGCCAGCACCGTCCCCGGCCGCTGATTTCCCAGTCGCCACCACAGGTAGGGCGTCCTGCGTCCCAGGAAGAAGCAACACAAAGTGATGGTTGAGGCTCATTACCGTGACACTGGTATTTGCCTCCAATGTACATGAGGTCGAAGCCTTTCTGACACTTGCAGATGTAACTCCCAAAAGTGTTGACACACTGCCTAAATCGAGGGCAGGAGGCGCTTCCAGTAGCACATTCATCGACATCTAGAAACATAAATCAGTTGCGTCTTAGAGCAGCATCATGTTCAGAGGGAACGGATTTTGTTGGCAAATGGCTGCCTGGCACCGGGCGGCTCATCGTAAGTGTCATCCAGCTGGTTGCCCCGACAGGCTAGATAAATTCCACATCTCCAAATTTCACCACATCCTCCTAACCAGAGCCATCCTGTTCCTGCACCATCTCTCTGCACAGACTGCACCTGTATCCACTAGTTGTTCCGAATGGAAACATGAGGCATCCTTACAACCCTATTTCCCACAACGCAAAATCATCAGGCCCAGTTAATCAGGCCTAGTCTTCTTTTCACCCACTGCCACTACCCAAGCTACCATCTTCCAGGTTAGATTGTGACAAGAACCTCTGAACCGGTCTCTTCCCCGCCAGTCTTACCCCTCCAGAGCATTCCCACTCAACTGTCAAAATGCTCTACCACAACCCAAGATTGGAATATTAAAACTCCTCAACTGTTCTGCTTGCTTTTTAAGTTAAATCCTCATTCCTCATGATGTACGTGCACACCCTGCCCTAACTATGTAATCCTTACGTACCTCCCCGGTTATGTGTCAAGCCCCCACCCCTCATACTCAGTCTGCACGGAAGCCACATCGGCCTGCTTTCTTTCGAAACCTCACACTGGCCAGCCCCTGCCCTCTCTCACTGAGGTGCCTACCCTGTTTCCACCTGCTTGGTGATTCTTCACATGGCCAGTGGTCCAGGTCTTACTGAAGGGTTTTCCTTGACTGTTACTTTCTAAAATAAACCCTCTGTGTTTTCCTCTTAGTACCTCATATTAACATTTAGTATTGTTTGTAATTTTATTGGATATTTGTTTCTTTTCTGTCTTCCCCATTAGAGTATCAGCTTTGTGAGGATCAAAATCACATATGCTTTGTCCACTACGGTATATCCTAGCAGTTGGCACAGTGCCTGAAATATAGAAAGTATTAAATCAGTGTCTCTTGAATCACTGACTACCTCTAGTCCTTGAGTAGGTACTACATGCTAGGTACTCTGCTCAGCTCTTTGCATACATAATCCCATTCAATCCTTACAATGGTTCTAGGTGGTATTACTCCCATTTTTTTTTAAAAAAAATTTATTTATTTGACAGAGAAAGCGAGAGAGCACAAGCAGGGGGAGCAGCAGAGGGAGAGGGAGAAGCAGGCTCAGTGGGAGTCCTATGTGGGGCTCGATCCCAGGAGCCTGGGATCATGACCTGAGTGGAAGGCAAATGCTTAACCGACTAAGCCACCCAGGTGCCCCGCATTACTTTCATTTTTAAAAGATGAAGAGACTCAAGCTCAAAGAAAGGAAGTCTCTTGCTTAAGGTTACATATCAAGCACATGGCAGCACTAGGTTTGAGATCAAAGCTCAGATTTAACCACAAACCTATACTGTCTTAGCTAAATTACAGGAAAACAAATCTAACTCTTTAGTGCAGCATGTACAATCTAACCCTGCCTACCTATTCAGCTTCATCATTCATTGCTTCTTAACATTCTAGAAATACTGAGCTCTTCTGCTTTCCCTGAATACTGTGCTCTTTTAAACTTCAGAGCCTTTGCACATATGATTTCCTCTGCCCAAAACTTCCTCCTGTCCCTCATTTTTAGAGAAACAAGGCTTCCATTATCCATTCAGAGAGAGGTCCTGTCCTTGAGGCATGTGCTATCTTGTAAGGATAGCCAACTGCTTGATGTAGGCAACTGCCTCTTCCCCGTACTGCCATCACCTTTCACTTTCTCCTTTTATCCTGCAGGGGCTTCTGACAGAGATACTTGATTTTACAACTCACCCACACAGGTCCTCCCATCAGGAGCCAGCTGTAGGCCAGGAGAGGGGCACTGGCACCGTATCTGTCCTTTGACAACATCACAGCCATACTGACAGTTGGCCATGGAGCACGTCAGGGCACCTGGAAAGAGTGTGACTGGCTGACTCAGAAAGGCAGAGGACAAATTCTGTAACCAAAATAACGTGGGGTTTTTTTTTGTTGTTTTTTTTTTTTTTACTTGACACTGAATCAACAACGAAGACAAAAAGCCCTCAATTATCCAATAGTCATTATTCCTCATCTGAGGAAGATCTTTAATGCATTTAAAAAATGAAAAGACAAATCTATCTCACATAGATTATCTGGAAATTTTTCCAGTGGCCAAGGAAAGTGAACAATTGAGGTAATTTTCTAGATTATTCATGCTAAATGCTGATCTTCACTAAAACATCCAATTAATTTTCTCAATCTCCCACTAAATTTTTCTAGGGACAGTAGTAGATTTCCTACTGGGTCGTACAATGTTAGAGGATTCTAACATCACTACTACATGGTCTTAAACATGAATTCACCTAATTCTAAAGGTTCCAAGTTAAATATGCAATGCTAAATAAGATTAACTGAAACTTATTAATAAAATACAACCCAGTTAGAGAGAGATAACTGATAATTAACTAATTGATAACTAACTTAACAGATAAGTCAGTAAAAATAACAATCAAGTCCTCAATTGTCAGAGATCATAGAAACACAACCTCAATTCAACATTCAGCCCACAGAAAATTTCAGGGGATTGTCCATCTTATAAACACATCCAAATGATAGTAGAAAAACATGATACATTTCTTTCTCACAAAGACACATGAAATCTAATGTTATTGGAATCATTTGATGTAGTTTTTTTTTTGGAAAGTGTTATCTTAGTCTTTAGACTATGAGAAAGAACTGTAAAAGTGAAGTGAGAAGGTACTTATGAATGGTTTATGCTCAGTCAACAGACTTGATGGATTCGTTACCAGCTAACGGTTTATAGTGTCCATGCTTGTGAACAGCAACACAGTCCTCACATAGGCACTAAAGTTCTTTTTCTAGCTAGAACAGTTCTTTGCCCAGATAGAAGACAGGCAAAAGCATGTTGGGAAAAACACTAGAAAATACATTTAGTTTTACGATTCTTAAATACCACTTCCAAATCAATTTAACGCTGGCGCCCATGGTAAAATAATGCTAGACATGTCAAATGGGCAACTTTTATTTTGGTTTTCCATTCCAGAGGCACACATATAAATACATGCTCAAATCCTGGTTAGGAGGGCCTGGGAGGCTATTTTCATATACCCTATCAGAGCACGTGAGATCAAGCCAGAGCACTCATAAAACAGTCAAGATTCTCGACATACTTGAGCAGGACCCATCTGGCATGAGCATATATCCGTTGAGACAGTAGCACTTGTAGCTGCCATAAGTGTTCATGCACCTGTGCTTGCAAGGCCGCGGCTTCAGGCCACACTCATTTAGATCTGAAAAGAACGGGGGTCGACGCAGAAAAATGAGAAAACCTCAACACTAATATAAAACCATTCAAAATACCTCTTTATTGAAGAATGAACAAGAAAAGCAGGACAAGCTGTAGCAACCAGTCATTAACATAAGAGAGAGAGCCTGTTTATACCATCTGAATTTCTGTGCTGGTTACATGAGGGGTGTGAAGACCAAATGCTTCATAACAATGAGAGGGCTGTGTGAATTTTTGGAGCTTAGATTACATAGTACCTGTGGTCTCTGTCCACAAAGGACGGCTGGAAAAATTCTCACAGACACGTGCCTATCATCCCGACCATCTTCCTCATGGATAGAGGTGCCCTGCCATTTACCTAACTGACTCCAACCTCTTCCAAATAGCTGAGTTTACTATTAGCTTCACTCCTCACTATGGGATCTTTCCCTTTCCATTTCCTTCTGCCTCTGTTTTAAAAAGATACTCTGTGAGCCTATCTTAGTTTAGAGCAAGTATTTTAAAACATTCGACTGCTTCGACCTTTCCAAAGGAAAGCTCTATTTTCAGAGGGTAAGAGCTACATGAATTAGAGTGATCACTATTATGGTTTCTCTCAATCTTACAGATTCTATACTGATCTCAAATTAAAGAAGAAATTTCAGCTTCCTGCTTTACTGATGTATTCAAGTCACAAAATAAACCACCCCCAAACCTACCCTTCAACATATTTTCATTCATTTGGCAGTTAAGGCATATGGAAATACTAAGGGATGACACATAATGGACTACTATTATGTATTTTGGGTTTGTTGGTTTAAATATCAACATAAACTAATTAACTCCACATAAGAATTTTCTAACCCAAGTTGAATACTGCTTCAAGCGAACATAAAACTCATAATGGCAAACACTAAAATAGTAATGCCCAAAATACAGACTTCATTAAAAAGAAATATGACTACATGTTTATTTTGTCTGGAACTGCCAGCGTAAGCACCTGATTAGATAAATTATCTATTAGTCCATGTCACCAAATCAGATATATAGATATATCTAGTGGCAAAGGTGTTTTCATCTAATCAAATTTAAATCTGACCTGCTCACTTACTGGAAATCTACATATTTCACTTAATTAAACCACCAAATTACACTGTTTTAAAACCACCTAATAATTATTACGTTTATAAATGTTTTCATATTTTACTGACTTTCTAACTTGGGTCTTTTTTCTAACCTTAACACAACAGTGAGCAGGTCCCCAGCTGGGCGAAGCCTAGGAAGGTTAACTAAGTAAATTAGGTACCTTCACCATCTCCTTTGCTTTTTTCAATTTTCTCCTTTTTTGTCTCATGGCCAGTCATGGGCATTCAAAACAGAATCACATTTTAAAATATATTTTTAAAAAATTTTCTCAAAGAAAGTGCTTTGCAGATTATAGTATCAACACAAATTTGAGTTCTCCCTCTGTTAAATGAAGTAAAAATTTTAAATCAAGGGAGAAAGAAATTCACTCTACCTCTCATATTCTTCTACCCTGTTATCTCAATATTGACTGATAATTAGAGTCAGGGAATCTTTTCTCATGTTCTAAGAGAAGTTAGTTATCATTCCTAATTCATCCAAAGATCCCTGCAGATACACACCTGGCTTTGGTAAGTCCCTGACTGATATTAAATGGTATTTAAATCTGAGCAAATTATTAGAAAAAGGCTTTGTTTTTAATATTTTTTGCACTAAGCAAATATAAAACAGAACAGTACAACAAAGCCATAGAGTAAGACTAAATTTTGTATCTCAAGGGAAGGATATTGATGGATAGAAAAATGTGTCAATTAAGAAACCTTAGGCTAGGCTTATTTTTAAAGAGCCACAGAAGCGTTTGTGGGTTCCTGACAGAAATTGGTCAGAGGTTTATAGCTCTAAGCAGCTCATATGTAAGGGATACTTATGCTGATGGAAATTTCTTTATTCACCCTGTCCATGAACCTAAAGCTGAAGCCAAGCTGAGGCAGCTCTAATCTTGACCAATAAAGAACCCCTCAAGATTGCTAGGAGAAGAGTTTTCATGATCCAGACTGGGGCTGCTGGTGGTCTTCAGTGCAGATTTATTCTTTCCTTCCCCTGAGAAAAAGCACTTTGGGGTTAAGAATCATGAAACTGAAAGGAAGTGAAAAACAATGTCGTAATTCAAAAACAAACAAAAACAACTCCCCACCTGGGAATCACTCTATGAAATATTATGGAAGAAGAAATAAACATGCAACCTTCGATGGGTAAATGTAGAGACATTTGTTGGCTATATTACTATTATTAATTTGACACATGAATATCCAAAGACATTGATAGCCATTTGAGAAAGCCATACTCTAACAGCTGTTGACGGGGTGGCTGATATTCCCGGACAGTTGGCTGGTGTTGAGGTCTCCAGGGATTACCATTACTGCCCATCTGCTACAGGCAAGCGTGTCCTAAAAACTCCACACTAACCCTTACAAAAAGCACTGCAGAAATTATGAAATAGAATTCCACAATAATCCATGTTATCAATATTTACCAAATATCAGACTTCTGCTAAAGCAGGGAGCTTCAAAATATTGAAAGCATCTGGTGTCGCGGTGATAAACTTCTTTTTGTCAATTTTCTTCAGGGCTTCTAGTCTATTATTATCATAACTTTGCTTTCTTATTGACCTAATGCCTTATAAAATTGAGTTAATATGTACTGCTTCCAAAATCTCATAGACTACTGACCTAGTAATGCTTGTTACTATCAAGTCTGAAGTTCAAAAACACTTCCAATTTATAGTAAATTCTCCTATGCTAATAAACAAAACAATACAAAGAACAAGCTCCTTGATCACACTTTCTCAAATCAATCTTAAAAGCTGATAGAAAGAACCTAGGGAAGAAAACCTTAGTGTATTTACTTAAATTCACTTCAATCTTGCTCTTTCTCTAGAAGTTTATAACATAAATTATAAGGAAAATCTGTAATAAAAAACAATGAATTCTGTCATGTGCCTATCTTATCACATCAAAAGACATCACTTTACAATTAAACCACTTACATTTCAAATGCTTTAATTACAAAGTATACATTCTTAAAGAACATTTATTACAGTGAGGAGTATATTTAAGCAAGTTGTTGGATTCAGGAGCTTGGGGAGGTGGGATGGAGGGTTGGGGGTGGGAGGGTAAGAAGAGAGCTAGTCCAGAACAAAAATGCAAGCTGCACAGCATTATAATTACATTTTAGGAAAAAAAGAATCAGAAATTTTATTAGCATGCAGACACTGAAAAGTAGCTTGAAAAATCTAGAATAGACACATTGAATAAGATAACCCAATGGATTTTTAAGGAAAATAATCTTTCATTCATTTAATGCATTTGGACTTCTTTTCTTCTTTGACCCTTAAACTGGGCAGTGTCTCAGAAGTTTAACCTTTCACATTTTACAGGACTAACGTGGAGGTCACAGGCAGACAGATGTCAGTATGTCAACTGCCATAACTTTTATTCTTTAAATTATCACTGTTGAAATTAATCCTATTGCCCTAATTCTTTATGCAGAAGATACGCACGTACATTATGTTCCCCATCAGCAGAGAGACAATAATTAATAATTTAAACTATTTTAATTCAGTCATTCTAAGTTCCTAAATCTATGAGCGGATGAAGGATACAGTCTTTTTTAGAACAAAACCCGCAAAATCACGCTGCCACCTAACTTCTGTACAGAATTTTCCATCACAATGAAAACATTGGTATGTCTGGTGTTCTTGTTCCCACACCAGCCCTGCAGGTAAAGAGGGCAGGAATTACTCTCCCCCTGTTACTAGTTGGTTGGTTAGGACTCAGACACATTACATGACTTGCTCATAATCACATAGCCATTTAAAGGCTATTCGGAACCAGAACTTAGGCTTTCTAATGTCACAAAATGCACACCCAAAGAAGGAAGTTAATGTATGGTTTGATCTCCAGGTAACCTAAAATGCTACACTCCAAATACGATGGTGGGGGAGAGGACTTCATCACCCAATCTCCGTTGCTTTGGAATGCCCTGACTTCACCTATGAAAATAAAGGTTATTTTGCCATCTCATTTTTAGAAAACCTTCTGAAACCCAGAAAAGGAAAAGAGAAGCAATATTTGATGCAGTGATTGGACAGTGGAGGCTCCAGTCTTTTTCGAGCACAGAGAATCAGCAGCAGGTATTCCGCTGCTTGCTTTACATGCTCAGGATGCTGAAGGCTGGGCACTCCAGGGCTAGTCTTCAGAACATTTGCAAGAAGTGACAAAACTGCAGGAAGCTATGCGGGTGGGAGTGCAGCCCACCGGAGATAATGCACGCTCACCCCTTGAAGGTAAACTTGTGGCTTGATGATCCAGGGGTTGGAAAAGAGGCTGTTCACTGCCTTGGTCAAGAGGAGTTGGGTAGAAGTGTTCATCTTCACACCAGGAAGAAAGTAATAAGAGTCAACTTTGAACCGATGTCATTTTTAGCCCTAAAAATCTTCATAAGTATATATTAAACAATTACATAAAGTTGGTGGAGTTAAAAAGAATGCTTTACATACTTTTTAAAAATGGGTTTCTAGTTCATCCAGTTTCTTTTTAAAATTTGAATTTCTATTTTCCTTAAAATTTCTCACTGCCATCTTGTCTCCCCAAAACACATGTACATTTTACACACATGCACACACACATACATCATTCTCACACCACTCTTTATAGAAGAGATGGTCATTTTTTAAAACATTATTTTAGTCATCAACAAAGAGAGAAAACTCAATAAACAGATTATACAAATATTGATTACAATCAACCTGCTCTGTTCAGTGACACTAAGGTCCTTAATGTCCAACTTAAGACTTTTTCCTCTATTATTATGTTGTCCAATAGTTTAAAATACCCCAATTAAGCACAACTTTATGATTTGCATAAAGAGCTTATTTAAATAAATAGCATGAGGGGCGCCTGGGTGGCTCAGTTGGTTAAGCGACTGCCTTCAGCTCAGGTCATGATCTCAAGGTCCTGGGATCGAGCCCCGCATCGGGCTCCCTGCTCAGTGGGAAGCCTGCTTCTCCCTCTGACCCTCCCCCTGCTTGTGTTCCCTCTCTCGCTGTCTCTCTGTCAATTAAATAAATAAAATCTTAAAAAAAAAATAGCATGGTAGTTCATCAATGTTTTCATTCAAATGTAAGAACTTATGTTATATTTAGGTCACATTTAGTAGGAATATACAATAAGCTTCCTACAAAGAAGGTTAACTACTGCCATTATTAACTTACCAAAATAGTATAAGATGGATAAGACTCAAAAGTAGAGTCAAAAAGGCAATCATCTCCTGTTTTAAGACTTTCATAGTATTAACAGCCAGTTAAAACTTTCAAGTTAAATGAACACTGGTTTCTGGGTTGAAATCACCCATCTTTCAAAAAGTAAGGCTGTCAGAAATTACCTTAATATTAGGGGTAAGAAAGGCAATCAACTTTCAGATTTACCTAGGCCACCAAAGTTTACTGTACAGTTCTGGGCTACAAGCTACTGGTTCTTTTCTTGGGGTGAGGAATTCAACGTATGAAACGTAAACTTTGTCAAAACCTTAGGAATTGATATTTATAAATTGTTTCTTCTGAAATCATTATGCATTCAAAGGTTTTTGAAAGCACAACATGCATTCAAAAACCTATGTCTTTCATTTCTGAAAATATGCAACAATAGAACATATTACACGATAAAAATCATTCCCTACTGGGAAAGTTATAAAAAGGTTATTATCTATAACAGTATCCCTTTTTGGCTTAAGGCAAAGAGAATTTGTATGGGTACAGAGACTCAGAGAGGAGACTCTGCATGAATAAAATTCCCAGAGAAATCAGGTGGGGGAAAAAAAGGCAAATCTTGCCCGAGTCTGGGTTAGAATTTCATTATTGTGAAAGGCACCATGTGCTGTATAGAATATGCTAATGATCAGTCCAAGCCCATGATTTTATATGTGATCTAGCTACGGCAAATCCAAAAATGACTCCAAGGGAAAAGCAAGCCACCAACAGCAGATTCACGCTAATTTTGCGACAAGGCTGTAAAATTAAGCCAGTCCCCACGTGGGCTCGCGCTGCTCTTCTAGCTGACCCTGGAAGCTCTGGTTAAACGCTGGCCATTTACACAAGCTGTTCACTCCACCAATCAAGTTTCCAGGAGATTATTTCTTATAGTACACCACTTGCAACAAATTTTTTTAGCAAATATTTGCCTTACACAGAAACTTACTTTTTTTTTTGCTCTTTTATTATTTATTTTTATTATGTTCAATTAGCCAGCACATACAAACCTACTTTTAATCAGAAGCTAATTTTCAGTTCTGTGAAATCATTTGAAATATACCTCTTCTTAACATTCCTCTCAAGAAAAAAGAAACCTGTTTGATTGTCCATATTTCTGAGGCATGTTTGCCAGTTTCTTAAGATGTATGGTCCAGATAAAAAAACAGTCTACATTGATTTGCTGTGTAACCAATATAGACAATTTGCTCTATTCACGTTTCTTGGTGTCTCTTGACAATTGTCCCACTCACCCAGCTCCTTCACAGCCACCTCTCACCCTGACCAGGGCTCTCGGTCCACAGATTCAGAGGCTGCCTAAGGTGCTGGCTGGACAACTCCATGGAACCCTTACAAGTAGGGTGTTCAGGACCAAGAACCATTACATAAAACTATCATTCACTGAGCAAATATTTAATGTGCACTTAGCATGTGCAAGTCATTTTAATAATAGTTTCCAGGGACCCAGAAATCAGAGACCATACAGGGTCTCAAAGAACATAAACCATGCCATCGGGAACTTGCCACATTGCTTTTCTGTTAAGGAAGACAAGGAGAGGGGTGATCAAAACACATAGGTTTATTGTAAGCTGTAGTTTTATATTCAAGATTGGCCTTGAAATTACATTTTCAGTGTCAGCACTATTTTTTGCCAGTGTAAAAATCCCATTTTGCTACTAATGAAACCCTCTTTCCCCTAAGGAATATAGTTTTAGGAGGCAAGATTTAAACTCAGTATATTTCAATTTTTCTTTAGAGAAACAGGTATGTATTACAGTTAAAAAGTACATGATAAACTGGTTTTCTGAAAACAGGGGATACCCAGAGGTAGATCCTTGTTACAATAATAGTTTCACTGTCTTTGAAGCATATTAAAGTTGATGTAGCTCCTGCAAATAAATGTAAATGGATTTCTCTGCAATCTCAACAGTGGCTTCTTATAATAACCTTCTTTGTATAAATTCCTGGCATCAGGACAACAAAGTTTTATGGTACTGACATATTAATGAAACCTCTGATGGTTTATGTTCTCCACTTTAAAAAGGGAAGCATGCTGGAAGTCTCAGATGCACACTGATAACTCAATAATCAACCGGACATGTCACTACTTATAAACTTAGACTGGGGAAGGAAAGTCAAATGGATTTTTAAAAGAATAAACTGAGATAACAAAAACACTATTTACTTCAAAAAGGCTATCCAGGCATGTTTGGTAACTTCCAAGTTAAAAAATATTATAAAAGCATTGGAAAAAATCAGTTAATCAAATTAACAGATCATACAGAACATACTTGAGAATAACAGTTTCTCCTACATCGGACATGTCACATTTCATTAGCATGGATTTCAACTGATAGTTCAGGAACAATCCCTTATGCTTTTTCAAACACCAGTGTTCTGGACTGTTGTGGAAATTATGCCCATTAGTCATGAGTTTACATGAGACATATCAAGGAGTATCAGATATTGAAGAACAGGAGTATTTCAACAGTATCATCTCCATATCTGATGAAGTAAGTTATCTATGGGACAGTGAGGCCCCATGTAACTGTTCCATTCAACACTAAAAAGGATAGAAAGGATTACTTCAATTCAAGAAATAAGTGAAAAATGGACTCTTTTATCCTTGTATCTTTCTGGGGAAATCTAACCCCAGCTTTTCTTTATTTCTGGGTTTTTTTTTTTACTCCTAATGATAGAACATTTGGGGTTGAAATTAATTAAAAAGACAAGCCTTGTCAGATTTGTTAGCAGAAGTCAGAAGATCACATTTGCAATAATGTTTTCTCATCTAAAACTAAATTGACAGAGAAAATATGAATTCTATGGATAAAAGTTCTAAGTGGACATACTAGGTCTTTTACAAACTAACTCTTGAACTTTGACAAGACACTTAATATCTCTGATATCTTTCAATGAAAAATAACAGTAAGTTTTTACCTCTTAATTATTATAAATAACACTCTACCTACCTCCTGACGTTGTAATAATGAAAATAGATAATATATATAAAATACCTGGGGCAACGTGCTAAATGAATGTCTGCTTTTGTAAGCAACTTAAAAATAAGTTTGTCAAAATCTGTATTTCTCAGAGGAACTTTGCAAACTGTTAAGAGTTGAAGGGAATTTACTCTCAAAGATCAAAGGGCTCAGAGTTTGAAGGGACCTCAGTTTCGAGTCACACTTCCTACCTGACTTTGGGTACTGAAGGGGTTCCATCTCACTGGGGTCCCAGGCGGCCCACAATTTGCCAGGGCTCCCCAACTAAGCTCATGGAAGAACAACGACCAGCAGAATGTAAGGCTTCAACATGACTGATGTTGTGATTCTCTTCCTCAAAACACATTTTAATCAGTATCCGTGAATAGGAACAAGAGGGCGAAATCTGATGACATATATTTTAAGATTTACCACTGTATTTTTATCTTTCAGAAAATGGCAGTTCACACACTTTTGAAAAAAAACAGCCATGGAAAAGTGGTTTGGCCTGAGAACCTAAAACTTTTACATGCAGCAGAAACAGAGGGGGCTTCTGATTGTTAATCTGTGTCAGACTGGTTTCCTACCTTGACTGCAGGTCTTTCCAGCATATCCGGGATGACATTTGCACTTGTCGGGTCCAATACATTCACCATGTTTGCACTGTGGCCGGCAGACAGCTGTGGAAAGAGGATATCATGCATTATTTCTAGGTCAGTGGAACATCAATCGTACAGAATCTGTATCACGTAGGCAGTTTTATAATCAAAGAGAAGACTAAAAACTTACATCAGAGAAGCAGAAATATAAAAATCACTGTGTCTTATCAGAGTGCTAAAGCACTGTTTAGATTTAATACTCTCACATACGTGCGGGGGTTGTGTGTGAGAGTGTGTGTGAATCACTAGGTTCTGGAAAATTGGCTAAACCTAAGCGCAACGTTAAAATAGTAAAAAAAAAAAAAAAAAAGGTAAAACTGAATAAACACAACTGATGTTTGTCAATAGTTACAACTTTACAATAACCTGTATCTGTAATTTCAAACTCATTCCCCCAAATACGCTTCAAAAAGTAGTTCTTAGTCGAAAGATATGGGTATATGTGAACTCCAGATAAATTTCCCACTAAATAATACTTATTTTACTAGGAATGTTATTTCTAATATGAAATGGTTCTAAACAAAATAAAACCCAAAACTCAGTATTTTTGGAACTTCCACTTAAGAATACTTCTGTCATTTTGATCTTTCTTAACCCTAGGTGTGGTACAACTGCCTTAACCCTTGCCATGGCCAATCACAGCAAATAGGAAGTTCTATTTTACATTTATTATCTTCTGTCACCTGAGTTTGTCTTTCCTCAGGATTCCACAATGCTGTAAAACATCATTCAAAGCTTTTCAGTCTTTCATTCCTGCCAAGACACTGGTCAGAATTTATTCTGTCTACTCTACACCAGTAGTTCTCAGCTGAGGCCATCTTTGTCCCCTACAGAACATCTGATATAAACAGAGACATTTTTGGTCGTCATACTGGGGAGAGGGTGCTACTGGGAGCTAGCAGGTAGAATACAGGGATGCTCTAAACATCTTACAATGCGCAGACAGCCCCCTCTAGAGCAAATTATCCAGCCCAAAGTGTGATGGCGCCGGACTGAGAAACCTTGCTGTACACCGAATAGGTGGGTGGTGCTATGCCAGATGTGAAAAAAGAAGAAAATTCATTGTACAGCATTGTCACTAGTCTCAAAGAGCTTACAACATAAATGAAGAGACCAAACAATCGTTTTGCATTTAACACAACATTTGTTTATGAACAAAATGGGTAGCACATACGAAATTTGTGAAGAAATCGTCACACAAGCATATTCACAGAGATTTGTAGAGAAAGCCTCAGGAGAGACTTGAGTTGATTCTTCAAGCAAGGGTAGACAGAGATGGGGAAGACTCTCCAAGGTGAGGAGAGTTATACGGCAAAACAGACTATCATTTACTCAGAGGGCACCAAGGCAGAATCAAGCTAAAGAGATAGCTTACTGTCAGTGGAAAAATGAGATGTAGACAATCATAGATAGGTGACTGGTATCAAATGATGATGTTCCTTAAATTTCAGCTGAGGAATATATACTTTATCTATATGAAATGGGAAGCTTCTGGAAGTTTATTATCATCATCAGGAGAATGACCTGATAAAAAATAAATATTCTGGGGATATTAACCTGGTGGCGATATGAGGGATGAACTAGAAAAAAATCTAGTCGACATGAGAAAGGCATGATCTCTTTGTGACAGAAAAGATGGGCTTCAGTAAGCACTGAAGAGCAGACACATCCACCAAGGGGAGTGGAGTCGACCGACAATGACCCTGAGTTCTAAAGTCCCTGACACCTGTTACTTCCCATATCAGCCAAGGCTGTTTTCATTCTGGGATATGCTCCTAGTTTCCTCTCTCACAATTCTCAAACTTCGTTTCCTTCAAAACTCGAATACTCCTGTAAAACTGAGGGGCAAGTTATTTCTGGTGTTTTCTACATTTCCTCACTCAACTCTTGCTGACCCTTCCCTCACCTGGCACTCCATGGGACTTATTTGCCAATCTTACTTCAAGGCTTTCCTGTTTGTTTGTCACCCCACCTGGACCCTGTATCACTACTAATCCTTAGACAATGCTCCTCAAGAAGTGTTAAAAAGCTTGCAGAAAGAAGGGGTGAGCCGAGTAGAAGGTGTAAATGATAGAGAAATGCACTTGGAAAATTCTTAAAATCTGATTTTAGACATGGCATGAAATTCAAAAGGAAGCAATTTTGTTCCGATCTGTGAGAAGAAATGATCTATCTAGAAGGGCCTTCCAAAATTATTCTTCAGTCGACTGTATGCCAGTAGATGGTTTATATGCAGTTTTTAAAATAAGTCCCAGAAATAAACCAGTCTTTATATAATTTCCAGGCCCCATAACCAGGAAATGCAAGTTAAAGCTTTTTTAAATCTTAAAAAAAAGATTTGCCATAAATTTTAATGTTTATATATGAACACAACCTGAACGAATCAACTATCACGGAGGCACCCAGAGGGTCATAATTTAAAAAAAAAAAAAAAATCTCAAAATCAGTAAGTATGAGTTGAATCCCCCCAAATAGCTGGAATTTGAAAATATCTCTAAAAACATGAAAAAGTAGTTTAGGAAGTACTACTTAAGAACATGAAAAAGTTTATTTAGAAGAGGACATGTTACGGAACAAACTCTAGGTGCCTAGGCTGTTTTGCCTTTTGACCTCCTGACCAGCTTGATGACCATCCATTTATCATCCTTTCAGGTGCTGTGGAGGAACAAAAGTTTTTATTGTCCCCTTCCCTTTCTCGTTGTTTGTTTTCAGTGCCCTAATCTTGGGCACATCAAATGCACACATTCCAAGAGGCTAAGACTGTTAATGTTTCTTACGTGTTTAGGGTGTCAGTAATTCTCAAACAAACTGCTATTTGCACTTCTACCCAACGGACTGTTCACTAAAGTAACCAAGGACCTATATATTAGCCAACAGCTACAATGGGATAGGCTACTCAAAATGCTGATATCACCAATTATTTTCTCTTACGAAAAGTAAACACTCAGAAAAATGTTGCATAAAGGGACTTTCTCCTATTATCTTGTTGGCATTGGGTCCGTGATGGAATTCAATAAACATGTGTTGAACATTTGTTATATACACGTATTATAGGTGAGTGTTGGGGAAGGGGGAGGAGAGAGAGTCACCGAGGATATGAAAAATTAGCTGTGAAACTAGAATATATTGGCCCAAACTTACCAAGAACTCAGAGAAAGATGAAAGAAGGAAGGGGGGAGGGGCAGGATGGTCATAATATAGTGTAGTCAGAACAACTATGACTATGGGACCCCCTAGAAAATCCTGATCTGAGCAATGTCCCAGAGGTTAAGAGGCTAAGACAGTTGGGATGGAAGACAAAAGCCTTTCGGGATATGCACAAAATGTGAGGGAAGGGAAGTGAAGGGGTTCTCAGTGAGTGCCAAGTGTCGTAGGGGAGCTACACTGTAAAGTGCTTACAACAGCAGAGGAGACCCAAAGAAAGGTTAGGGCAGATCATAAAAGTACTGGATGGCAGCAATCGCTGGGTGCTTAGCAGTATCTATTACTCCTTCTTTTGAAAACTAGAATGCCTTTTCTGTTTGCTCGTTTTGGGAGAGGGAATGAGTTAGCATTGGAAAACTACATTCCCTATCTTTCCCTGGTAGATCTGGGTAGCCAAGTGACTAAATTCTGGCTGGTTGTAGGTAAACAGAAGTTGGGCTTTTGGAATGCTCCTTTAAAAGGTGGCTGACTAGTCACTGAACTACAGTGGCCACTTTATGACCATGAGGTGATCCTGAGAAGGGAGAAGAGTACAGAGCAAGAAGTCATAATATTAACCCTAAATTAGCATCCTAGCAATTTAGGGCACTGTTCCTTGTGTCACTGTTCCTTGCAGCTCAATACAATTCCTAATGGACTACTGCTGAACGCAAAGTTGTGGAATCTGACTTCATCTGTGTTTATTATCAAGCCTGCAAATGTTTTCCTTGGTATGCATTTAGGATAGAAATGTTAGGAGTAGATCCTAGGAAAGAAATACTGCTTGTCAAATTTATTTTAGATCTAGAATACCATTTAATCATAGAAGTAGCTAAAGAACTTCATTTCTAAATCTCAAGAATTAGATTAAAAGATACATATTCATCTTGAGACGAGAGAAACACTATTCCAACGCCTGTTAAACTTGGTCCCCCTCTTGGTCACCCTCTCCAGTGTAACATGAGCTTTTGGGAGCCAGCACACACCAACCCTTACAACCTGCTGTGGATCGCAGGTCAGGGGCATAAAAAACCCAAATCAAAAGAGTAAGTGTACTTCTAGTGGTCCACTTTAGAATGGTCTTCTAAAAACATCAAAGACAGAGGATACACTTGATTTAGAGGAAATCACATGTCTCTTGGTGCTAAAGGTTAATCAGGAAAAGCAGTGTTGCTCCTCTGACCTTCACATCGATTGGAGACAAGAACTTTGGGCCATCTTTGGTGGCCCACTCTCCTCTTGTATCACATATGGTTTAGCAACTCAGTAAATAAAAGTCTGGTGAGGATCAGATAGCCAATGAATGATAGATTTTCCCCCCCAAGTTGAATGCCAGAATTAAGCCCAAACGGGCAAATCACACTCAAAATTTACTCTCCAACATCCCTATAGCATCATCTCCAAAGCACCCTTAAAATAACCTCTCCATCATTTTTTGAACTAGAAAAAGAAACACATCTCAACTGGCAAAGCAGACATAGCTCTTTCATGTCCCATGCCCACATCTCTTCTGTGGGATTGCGATCTACAATTTTACTCTTGGAAATTCATCCTGGTATAACTGGGGTTCTGGGAGTTGAATGGTTTTCTGACACTGCCATGTAATGAGTTTTCAAATAAGTTAGGGGACAATTAAACTCCCATATCAGTTCTATATAATTTTTCTTATGGAAACTAATCACCCTGGGAGTCAAAGGTCAACATTTGAAAAAAAATCAGGACACACTGAGATGCCCAAACAGGCAGTGGCTCTGGAGAGTGACAAGGGAAAAACCAACTCAACCACAGGTGTTGTTAGTGACTTCAGAAGGATTTTCTAATGTAAATAAGATGGTCTT